CCTGTCTTTTGGACTGTATTACAGAATTTTATCCCAAAAACTTGTGCGTGTTTGTGTGTCTTCTCCTGATAGAAATTGTCTGCATAGAAAATTTAAGATACGTAACTCTTGCCTTCAAGGGTGTCTATGGATATGTTTATACTGCGCGTTGTGATTCCAGAAGCGCAGTGTGGATCTCCTGGAAGGGTAATTTAAAGTCAGCAGTAGGACAGGTTAGACTTTGTAGATTAAGTGCTGCCTAATGCCAGGGGTGGTGGCAGAGTTGGTGGCGGAGAGGAGCTCTGCCCTAAGGAGTGCCGTGGCTAACGCCAGCTCCGGGCTCTCGGCGCTCTCACCATAAGGCAGAGTGATTCTCCTTCATAAAGTGTGTTGGAGATCTGCTGGTAAGAAATGGGAGCACTTAAAAATAATAATTGTCATATACATTTTTAATAAAGAATTTATTAGAATTCATAAAAGACGGGGCAGGAGTAATGCAGCTATTGTTGTGTCTGGTTGCCATATCCAAGGTCCCTGTGGGAAAGTTCGAAGTTAGCTGACTCACCTTAGGAGCTGGAGCTTTACGGCATCTTTAATGCCAGTTTAGGGATACAAAACCTGAGTGGCTTTTGGAGGAAGGGAGAACTTTAGGGAGGGACAGCCTTTGGAGCTGAAAAAAAGCCTTTTGCTGCTGTAAGTACAAGCCTGTCCTTAGGCTTTGTGGCTTTGTTGAAAGCCTAGGAAGGGGATGAAGGCTCAGACAGTGCCCTATTGTGTGTGTGGTGGGGTGGGGGGGAATGGCAGGCGGATTCTGCCTCTTCTCATCTACGCTTCAACAAGAGTCAGACATTATATACATATATGTTGAGGGGGAAAAGATTTTTCTCTGAAATTTTTTTAAAAAAAAGATAAGTGAAGTACTTGCAGTAATTTCACATGAGACTTTTGCAAGTCTCAAACATGTTTGGTTCCTCTAAAAAGGCTGTATATTTGAAGTTTTTGAGAAAGTTAAATTGGCAGTGTTCACTGGGAAAAACAATTTGTGTCGTGTAAAAGTCCTGAAACCCTAATGAACCCCTTTCCAAGAGGCATGCCTTAATGTGTTGGAGGAGGGTGTATGGAATGGAAAGTTCCATGCAGTGTTTGTGCATGAAAATAATCTGAGTGGTTTGGGTTTTAGTTTTGCTGTGTGTGTAAAAGGGGTGTGAGGATATTGTTTCTACATTGTGTTTGAAGTCAAAGTCCTCCGGAAACTTTATCACAACTTGTTACAAAAGAGCGGTATAATTTGAGTCCAGGCTGGTGTAGGAACTGGAAGAATACTCACGGTGAGACAAAATTCCCCTTTCACTAATGATTTAAGCACAACAGTACAAGTTCAGTCTGTGGGAAACGTGGTTTGTTTTTTTTTTTTGGTCTGAGGCCATGACTTTCAAAAGAACTTGATGAGAAGGTGTAAAGCATAATAATGCAGAATTCCTTGTTTATTTTTTTAAGCTATTTAGCCACTGATTGATTTGCAAAGATCAGGTCCTTTGCCAAAATGTAAATCAATGAGGAACAAATTAGTTCTAAAATTCAAGGTGCAGAACTTGTTGGGTTTTTTTTTTTTAGTTATTATTTTTTTTCCAATCTGAATCAAGCAGCATCATTTATCATTAGTGCTGGCACTTATTTCAGTGTCGTACAGTTGTTTTGGTGTGTCAATGTAAAACTCTGTGGTTTAAAAGAGCCTTTCTAAGTCCGTTCTTAGCCTTGTTTTTCCTACTATACCTCTGTTTTCACAGATATAATTGAAAACGATGCCAGTGCTTGTCACTTGTTAGGTGCCAGAAGTTATTTATTTTGTGTGAAATTAGCAAGCGGTGCAGTTTAGAACCAGTGACTCCTTTGTAAATAATTGATGCTTTTTAAAAAAATAAGTGATAGTCCCTGATTATCCAACTCAAAACTCCGTGTATTTATCAATTCATCTATTCAACTGTGAAAAGCTTTTTCTTTTTTGTTTTATTTGATTTGTATTACAGGCAAAGTGACAGCTTTCCTGCTTAAGCAGCCAGAAGATGACTGCCTAACCTTGCATATTATGTTTCTAGTTATGTAGCCATAGAAGTTTTATTTGTGTGGAGTTGCATTAGTAGCTTTGACCATGTGAAGAAGCGTTGACGATTCTGTGACTTTTGTCTGATATACATCTGGCACTTGCGTGGTTTTACAAGGTCCTCAGTAAACCGGTATTACTGAGAGCGCTCAATGTTTTCAGTTTTCATGCAAGTCAAAGCAAAGTTTCTCAGTTGTTTGCTGCTTTGTTTTTCAGCAAGAAGAATCTGTGATACTGACGGACACTGAATAAATAACGGTCTTGATCACGACTCCTAAATAAGGAGCCGAGAGACTGCAATATAGGCCTGAATTGGTGCTATTGCGGGCTTTTGTGGTGTGTTAGCTTTGCATGGATTATGAAATCTGTTCATAGTAGGGAAAAATGCACAAGCCATATTACTGAACTGCAAAAGCCCCGCTGCTGATACATCAAAGAAAGCAGCAGCTGTCATCCAGCTTTAGCCACGGTGCTTTTGAATGCCTTAATCCTCTTCCCAAACAGAAGGAGGCAGAGAGAGTGCACTTTCTTTATCTCCCCCCCCCCCATTTTTTTGAAGTGTTGGTGTAGCAAAATCCAGAAGCTGTGTTCAGCAGCCAGCGCTGCATGGCTCAAGACATTATTTTCTTTGCATCTAATTTGGACATTTCAGTCCTCCTCGTATATGCTAAGCTCTTTCAAATTTAGTTTTTCTTAAAGTTAAAAATTACTCGCATTGTGTTTACTCCCAAGTATTTAAAATATCAAAGTGATTATTCAGTTATACTTAATTTTCATTTAGGCCTACTTCAAATTGGAATTAATTTGGTATTTTTTGTTCCCTTTCAGTTGCTGACGGGGTGTGTGTTGAGACTGTACTCAGAACCTTAGTTACAGGGAACATACATGTCTACCAGTAGAATATATCTTATTTTGTGAAATTTTCACATTTTCAGATTATTTTTTTTTAACAATAGAAGTTTTACAAGACAGCTACTACAAAGTAGCTTCTCTAAGAAGCAAGCCAGATATGCTGCAAATATCAGTTTGATCTATTATCTTTTTAAGGTCTATATGGTGCAGTGTCCTGTCTCCAAAGTGGGTCATGGCAGAAGTCTGGGGAAGGGTACGAGAGCTGAGCAAGCATGCAGTGATGCTTCCCTGGTATACTTTGCTGTCTCACTAGCATTTCCCAAGTCAGAGCTGTTCTTTGAACTAAATAAATCAAGACCATTTTTTCTTCATTAATTTGCCTGATCACTTTTCTCAACTGCATTTTAAGAATATTTTCCAAATATGTATAAACACATTTCAAGAGAATGGCATAGGAAAATTATTTGTATTGAATCGAATTATCAAAATTATTGGAAATGAATTATAAAAGGGTGGGGTTTATGTATTGGGTTTTATGTTTGTTTATTAGCCACTGGCTTGCAAAGTGAATTTGCACTGCAAATAATCTCAACAGAGGAATGAAGTGTCCAAGTGTAAAGCTGTCAGGCTACAGCTAGTTCATTAAATTGTCTGTCTAGATAAACTAATAGGATGTCATTTCAAATCTTTGCTAATCTCCAGCCTCTCAGACCAAAAATACTTTGCTGTGCTGAAGTAAGCAAGCTGCTAGAGTCAAACTGAATGTTTTAAGAATCCATTTGTGTCGTCCTATTTACCCAAATAGAATTTCAAAAATCTGCAGTAAAAAGTGTGTTGACCAGGATAGTACTGAAAGCCAGACGAGAGAAAATGGCATTTGATTACAAGGTTTGGTATGTTTAGAAATGCTCCTGTTATTAAAGTTGTGCTAGCGCCAGCTACTCCTACACTGGAGTCTGCTCATTTGTGTGACATGCTAGCCATCCCAACACGCAAGGAAGATCAGAGATTACATGCAATAACTCCAGTCCTGCTTCCCTTGTCAGACAAGGATCTCCCAGCAGCGACATGACCTTCTTCTGGTTTACTCTTGCAAGCCCATTTTCCCTTCCCTCTCCCTTAATACCCATTTCCAAACTCCACAGCTTGAAATGCCATCTCTTTAAATCTTTGAAATGCTAGAAGCTTCAAGATTACTCGTAAAGAAAATAACTAATGTCAAGAAAGAAAATGTGTATTTAGCATTTTGGGATGTTCATGACAATTTTTTGCTAGCTTACACTAAGAGGTTGTCTGCTTTGCTCTTGACAGCACAAAAAAGCCTCAAGTTCAATGAAGAATTGAGGTATTACCTCATTACTATCCAGTTGTTGGTAGTTTCAGTGCTGTATGTGGGCCTCCACTAGCTGTGCAACAGGCTGATGGGCTGATGTCCCAGTGCTCAGTGAGTTAATCCTGGGATGTCCACAGCTGTGTCCAGACACCTCTCAGGTCAATGAAGAGATGCCAAAACTGAAGGGCGGTTTCCAGGTGTCATTAATTTGCGGGAGGCATCTCATGTTAGTTTATTCTTTCTTTCAATTTCTTTCCACTTGCCTCCCCCAGAAAAGGTCATATGCGTGTAATATAGTCTTACAAAGTCTAGAGTAATGATAGTTTGAGGTTTGTCATATTAGAAGGAAAAAGGGAAAATAATCTAAAAAGGTCCTGCTTTGGTTTTAAATGACAAATTTTTTATTTCAGATTTTGAAATAAGAAAGTGGTAGGGATGTGGTATGACCTGCTCTTGCATGTTCTATGCTGCATTACCAAAGTACTACTGTAGGTATTAGAAGATCATTTTTTCTCTCTAATTTTGATGTTTATTGCCTTCTTAGTTGCTACACCAGAAAAGGGTGTTCTTAGGCTGACCTATTCTTTCACGTAAATGGCATTAATAAATATTTCTTTTTCACTTTTATAGGTTATTGAATCACTAGGGATTATTATCTATAAAGCCCTGGACTATGGTTTGAAGGACAATGAAGAGCGGGAATTAAGTCCTCCACTGGAGCAGCTTATTGACCACATGACTAATACCACAGAAACAGATGGGAGTAGGGATGAAGGATATGATGCTCTGGATGAAGGAGTGGAAGATGACAATGATGATGACAAAGAAGAAGTTGAGGCCATTCATTCCTATAAAGATGTCATGAAGGTACAGTAATGGGCAATTTATATGATATCTCACTGTTTTTATCAATCAGAAAATCAACTCTATTTTCCATATTATTGTCCAGTGTGATACTCGCTGTATCATTTTCTGATTTCCCTGGTCATTCTGTAAGGTTTGCTTGCAAAAATGACATGCAGGAGTATTTAATGTTTGACAATAAGCAACAGAAAATCCATGATCAACTTTATCATTGGATATGCCGTTAATATCCCATTCTGATTTCATCCATGCACTGGATAGTCAACATTCCAGTGTAAGATCTGTTCAATTACTTTGTGTACGCTTGGATACCTCATGGGCTGTTTCAATTAATTCACCTTTTCTTTAGTGCAGTATTAGTTTAATTATTCCTTAGCAGTTTCTTCCTTTGCCACCCTCCTCTACTGAAGCAGTTCTTGACCTGAGTTGTGAGATTTGGAAATACAGCTTCTGAATTTTAATTGCAACAGGTTCTTTAATGTTATCTGGGATACCGTGAACAATCCTTTAGAAGTATTAACCCTCTGTTTTCTATACAGTAGTCTTCAGTACAAATTTTAGAGCCCAATGAGCTCTTAGTACAGACAAAGGTATTAATAAGAGTGGATTTTGACAAAATTTGTATAATTAGTTTACCTCATAAATAATTTGAGAGTTTAATACAGGTTGGAAAATTGTATGCTAACTTGTACCAGGGGATTGAACCCTGTATATTGCTTCTTTGGAAATGCAAGTCATATCTAAGGCCCAGAGCTTAGTGTGCCATGGAAGTTAAGAGTGTAGTGGTGGAAGCTGAGCCTAGAAGACTGTCCCAGGTAGCACATCAGGAAGTGTTAGTACGCAGAAAGAAGACACCTGCCACTTCTGATGGATTGACAGTAAAGAGGGAGACTGGAATGGGAGTAACTTTTGTTTGAGATGCTTTTGCACCCTCCTTGCATCAGAAATAATGCTAAATGCTTAATGCCTTTGTTTTTTCTTCCTCCGTCAGAGAAGCAGGGGTCAGAGGGAGAAATGGATGAAACAGCCTTTTGCTCTCCTGTGATAGGGAGGGCCTGGCTGGCCGAAGTACTCTCCCCTTCAAGCCCCTGCTGCTCCCTGCTGTGCTGAGTCGGTGCCCTTGCTGCTGGCAGGAATGAAGGCTGCTTTGCTCTCTCCTCCCTCTGCTGCTCCCCCTTACCCAGTCATCTTCTCTAGAAGTGGCCAGCAGCACCCTGCTAAGCCCCTGTCGGAGCTCTTCCAAACAGCATGGTGCTACATAGAGGGTAGATGCAATATATCCTCTTTTCCCCCAGTTTGGCAAAAATGCTGTGATTTGGTGGGATAATCAAAATTGGATCATTAGAGGAAGTTTCGTCTAGTGCAGAGGCAGAAGAGACATCTGTGTATGCAGAACTGAGGGCAGTAGCTTGCAGAAGTGATTATTTTGCAAGTTCTTTCTTTGATTTCTGCAAACAAGAAAAGGTGAAGTTTGGGAAACTTCTCTGAACTCTTTCAGTTACACTGCTACACATGCCTGAAATACAAAAAGGCTAACAAAATGTTTGGTTGTATTTCAGCTGTTAAGGCAGCTAATGGCATTTTTCTGGTTCTGCTTTGTTTAATACCTATCTTTGCTAGTCTGAGGTACCTGCTTATTTATATGTTTTTAAATCAGCATCTTACATTTTAATTTTTATCATCTTTTGCTATTATTTTTTTATCATTCTGGAAATGTACTGCTTTTGTCACTTCACCTCACTGAACTGAAGTTCAGCTGTTATTTCTACATCATCCTAATGTCTACTCCTCCATCTCTTGGAATTATCTTTTCTTGCTGTTGTTGCTTGTGCCTGTATTGCTGCAGGCTTAACTCTGCGACTTGCTTTTATCCCCTACTCTGTGTTGTTACTGCATTGATGTACTAGAATGGCAGCATCATTCTGCCACATTTTTGCCATTAGTGTGGATTTGTAATATCCTTTTTTCTTGACTTCATACATTTTCAGGGGTAAGACCGTGTTTTGTGTGTGGCTTTTTCTTACACACACACACACTAGTGGTAAACTGTGTTGCAGGCTACACCCTTATTTACCCAGTGACTGTTTCACAACAGTAGTGTGTGGTCTTGTGACCATGAGGCTCGGTAATTGTAATTCCCTCTTAGCCAGACTCACTGTGAAGTTTTCTCCTCTGCAGTTTGTAGTGAATGCTGAAGGAAGTTCGCTCACTGAATTGAGCAACTGTCGTTTTTGCCTACCCTGCATTTTCTAAACTGCAAGCTTGGAAAATAGTAGAGATGGACTGTGTGCTACTTATATTGATTTTTAAGGTTTTTAACTATATAATCACCAGTAAGGACGTGCTTTTGTCCTTGAAGTGTGATTATATGTTTTGTTCTTCTCCAGAAAGTGTCATTGTCAGGTCCAAGGCCTGTCTGCCACTAAAACTGAATTTTTCACCATTAATCACTAATGTGCATTGAGCCTGTTTTGTGATTAAAACACAGAGATGGATATGTGTCAGGTTTTTCTGTAATGCGAAGCAAGCAAGGTCAGTCCTGAACCCTCCCCTAAGCTGGAAAATGCTGAATAATGTGGTGGACACCTATTCCCAAGAATTGGGAAAAGGGTAAGTGCTAAATGGTACTGCCAAGATGATCATTGGCAAAGCTCTTGTTTGGAGAAGACACAGACAAGCTTTTGTGCTGCTTCTCGGTATATTTGACTGATCTGGCTTTTGATTTCCTTGGCAGGACCAAACTGCTGCACAGACCTTTTTAGAAATGCGTCTGTGAAGAGAGGAGACGTTGGTTGCCAGTCTTTGATGTATTTCGGGTATGGCAGCCCTAGTGCAAATGAAGGGAGAAATAGAGACAGTAAGGACTGGATGTTTTCAGACAGATGCTTTCCTTCTTTGGGGCCCTCTTCCCTGCCCCCATCTGCAGCACATACACACCTTGCACATACGGTACAGGAAATCCGTACGTCTCAGGAGTGCCAGGTTCACTGTGCACATACACAAGGGCAGAAGTGTACATATACAGTAATTCTGAGGGGTCAGGAGTGCATCAGGTTGATGGCACACGTGCAGCTTGGGGAGCCTTGGGTCGACAGAGGGTACAGGCAGAGTAGGCCTGGCACGCTGGGTGGTGCAGGGCTTGCTAAGGGTGTGCGAAGTCCTGTCATGTGGCACCTTTATCACGGCGTGTGGCCCTCCCTGATACTGAAACGAGATGATGCAGTTTATCAACTTCTTCCAGAGTATGCTCAAACCCTAATTCCACTCCTAATCTTATCTCAGTCCTTATCCCACAGATCTCTGCAGTCACATGGTTTAAGCCAGCACCACTTTTCATGTTAACCTGGTGGTGCTTTCTAAGCTGCACTTTATCACTTTATCAATATGTGCTGGCCTGAGCCCCAACCCTAAACCCAGTTCCAGTACTATCCTTTATTCTAGGCCAGCACCATTCCAGATGTAAATAAAGCCACACAACCCCTTGGTATCAGGCTTTTATCCTGTGCTGGTATTTACTGAGCTGAACTGCCATCCTAGCCCTAGCCCTGTCATTTCCTCCAGCTTTGAACATTGTCGTAGCCAAATTGCTACTGCCAGTACTAGACTTTACCAGAGCAGAGTTATTGTCAGTAGTATCTGCAAATCGTGACACTAACCTTTGTCACTGCCTCTCCTACCTTTTTCTGCAGGTCTCATAGGAAATAAATGAGGAGGCAGTGGTCTTCCTGAACCAGTATCTTGCTCTCACTTATGTTCACCTTTCTTCCTGAAAGTTAACAGGAACCTTATCTGTAGCTGTGTCACACCTTCTTGTCTCAGAGACAAATATAGGTGGATGGCCCCCGGTGCTCAGTGGCCTCTGGTCCCAGGCCTTACCTACCTAATCACTTCTAGGTAGTTCAGTAATTATGTTTGCTAAATCTGACCAAAAATTAACTGTTGTCCGACTGCTGCTTCACAAAGATGAATTAGTGACCCAGGTCCCATAGTAAACAAAACTCATACTTAGGAAATCTCCATGCTGACCTTTTAATTTGTATGGAAGTTATTTTCAGAGCAGCATGTGCACTATTCTGTTATCTTGCTATAACAAATGTAAACAATATTATGGTTTGCAATTTTTCTATTGGTAGAAATTCTTGTTTGTGCTTTGCTTGTAAGCAAAGAGGAAGAATAAATTGTTTCTGTCAGCACCACCACCCCCACCCCCATCATATTTCAGATCTTTTAATTGTCCTTAAATCATTGGCATGGTCTCTAAAATGAGAAACTTGTAGGTCTAGGTGACTCACATGTCTTGGTAGTTCAAGTATCTGGCTGACTTCTTTCAGCTGGAAGGAACTGAAATTTACAGCGGTGATATTGATCTGCTTGTGTTTTGTTTTGAGTACTCTGATGGTAGTACAGATCAACTATCTATGGCATGTGTAGAGTTACAGAGGAAAAGAAGAATATGTCCTGTCTCCATGCAATTACAGGTAGGAGGAGAAGATCTGCATTTAGATCTAAGTATTTTGGAGGCTCCCTTCTGAGTTTGAGGACATCCATTATTATCATGTAGATGGTATGACCCCATGTAAGTATAATATGGGAACCTGTCAGAGAGGAACCAGAAAATGCAGTTAAAAACAAGTCTGGATATTTGTTTATGACAGACAGTTAAAGAGTTCATGTTACTGGAATTCAAAGGCCCATAATTTTGCCTAGCCCATGAGGCTAAAATTAGTGAGATGTAGCTTTAGTATTTTTTGTATGAGCCTGCAGAACACTATTTATGTTTCATTGCAAAACAACTTGCAGTGTATCCTGTAACTCTGTCTGAAGCTGGTGAACGTTTTGGAACCTTACTGAGATGGTAACCAATGCCCCAGATGTTGTCAGTTCATTATATATAAGAAAGCATTGGCCATTTGTGAAAATCATGACACTCAAAAATTACAACAATTGATCAGCTCTCTTCTCTTGGGTCTTGTTTGTAGTATACTCAAATGTCACATGCTAGT